CACAGGAAACGAATGACACAACGAAGAACTAACTTTGCCATTTAGTGGCAAGCAGCATTTGTTTGGAAAGGTGAATTAAGTCTTCAAGTTTGATGTTTGTTTGTGGATAATTTTTTAGTGTTAAGGTTACACTAATTGCGAAGAACTAAAACTTATTGAAGATATTATAATGAGCACACTTGTACATTACATCTATACCCTTTAGGCCATCCCAATGAGGGCTTTAAAATGGGCTGCAATTGGCCAAGTGATTAAAAAAAATATGAAACCTGGTTAGCAACTATCAAAATGAGCAAGTATGACTCTGTTGAGTCGCAAGGCAAGTGAGCCAAAAATTGTTGGGCTGGCAGCTTTTTCCAGATGTGGTTCCCACCAAGTTTCAAGGACTACAACCGGGTAAACAAATTTAGCTTCAACTTCGGTTGGGCTTAACCATTTAAAGCCTCAAATTTGCACCATTGGGGATGATTTTTTTTTTTTTTCCTTCAAAGAGTTGTTATTTATTAAAGCCCAAAACTGATGCAACCATTTAAACAAACTTGGCCCATTTTAGCTTGTCTCATTGTTCTTTGTTTTTTGTTTTTTTTTGGTGAAGTTGACTTAGGCTACAACCCTCAAGTTCTAAACGGCTAGGTTTATTTTTTTTTAACCATGTTTTCAAATCTTGTCCAATTTTTTATTTTTTTGAGTTGAAATGTTCACAAAAATAAAATTAACATAAATAAGTTAACAAAAAATAAAAATAGCACCTAAATTAAATTACATCATAAAAAAAATATCAAACTCTTAATATGGGAGCCCTGAATGAGGGTCTATCAATCTCTTTTAGAGCCCCAAGTTCCAACCATTGGGATGCCCTTACAATGAAAATTTACTTTGCTAATCTGATTAAACAGCTGATCTTCAACTTCTTGTGGGCAGCTCTGATGCAGGAGCATCCCAAGCCAAACTAGGGAAGCCCAAGAGATCAGTTAAACCTCCTAATTACCTTAAAGATTATATCCCAAAATAAATTAAGAGACCTTTCCTACTGCTGATTGACTTCCTTTTATGTTTTCCTTCTGTTTTGGGTTTCTTTATTGTACTAGAATTATAATTCCTTATATTCCTAGGATTTAGTTGTTATTTAAACCTTTCTCTTGTAGACCATTTGGGCAGATTGGATTAGTGAATTTATTGAGAAAACGCAGCTAAGTTTAGCCGCAAATTGTGAGTGCTCGTTCTATATTTCTAGTGTTGGTGTAGTTTCGTTGGAGGTTCGTGTTTGAGATACCATCTCCCCATCAATTTGGTATCAGCGCTTTGGTTCTTGTGGGTGGAGAGAAACCTTCATGGCTCATCATAGGCGTGGTCGGGGTGGTGTCCGAATGGAGGGCCGTAACTCTACAGACGACATGGATGAAATTAAAAGAATGATTCAACAACTCACTGATCGTGTCGCTCGCATCGAGACTCAAAGCCATGGTGGTGAGAGTTCCGACGGGGAGGGAGACGAAAATCCCTTTTACAACAACATGCCGATGGAAGGTGTGCAAAGGGGACGGGATCATTATGGTCGAAATTTCGACATGAAAGTAGATTTACCTGAGTTCGAGGGAAAGATGCAACCTGATGACTTTGTTGATTGGCTCAATACTGTTGAGCGTATATTTGACTACAAAGAGGTGCCGGACGAGAAGAAAGTTAAGATCGTAGCCATTAAATTGAAGAGGAATGCCTCTGCATGGTGGGAGCAGCTAAAGACTCGGCGTGATCGTACCGGAAAATCCAAAATTAAAAGCTGGGAGAAAATGAAGAAAGAGCTAAGGAGAAAATTTTTGCCAGAAAACTACCTTCAAGCAAACTTCCTGAAACTTCATAATGTGCGACAGGGAAATCGGACTATTGAGGAATATACTGAAGAATTCGATCTCTTAACCATGAGGTGTGGACTCGTCGAAGAAGAAGAACACACAGTTGCACGTTATCTTGGAGGGATGCGTAGAGAACTTCATGATGTGGTGGTCTTACAGCAATACTGGAGTTATGATGATGTCTTCAAGTTAGCCATACAAGTAGAGAAACAGATGAAGACACGGTCACGGCGTGTTGGAATAGAGGGTTCTGAGCACAAAAATTCTTGGATGACTAAAGGCTCATCAAATTCTGAGCCAGGGAAGCATGAAGCACCTAAGACCAATGCACCAGAGAAGTTTACTGCCAGCAAACCAAAAGGGATCAAGTGTTTCAAATGTTCTGGCATAGGACATATTGCTTCTGAATGTCCTAACCGAAAAATTGTAAGTTTGGTTGAGGAATTGGGCGAATCTAGTGGTATGTCAAAAGATATGCTACCTATATTTGATAATTATGGGGACAATGAAGAAGAAGAGATCACATGGAGTGACCATGGAGAGTCCTTGGTGATTCGAAGGATAATGAATGCTGCCAAGGTGGAGGAGACCTCAGATTGGCTTCGGAATAATATATTCCATACCAAGTGTACCTCTCATGGAAAGGTATGTAGTGTTATTATTGATAGTGGTAGTTGTGAAAACATTGTTTCACAGGAGATGGTTGATAAACTGAATTTGAAGACTGAAAAGAAGCCAGTCTCGTACAAGCTGTCTTGGGTCAAAAAAGGGAATGAAGTCGTGGTGAATCAACGCTGCCTAGTGACATTCTCCATTGGGCAAAAGTATCAGGATTCTCAATGGTGTGATGTAATTCCAATGGATGCGTGCCACATACTATTGGGGAGACCTTGGCAATTTGATCGCCAGGCCACACATGACGGATACAAAAATACATATACCTTCATCAAAGATGGTACGAAGGTTATTTTAGGCCCCTCCCAATCCGAATTTAATGTCAAATCCACGAAAATTGGTGCTGGAAGCTTTCTAACCAAAGGAGAATTCCTAAAAGAAGCGGAGGAGAGTGGCGATATGTACATGTTGATGGTGAAAGAGTCAAATCCAGATGTTCTTAATTTTCCTAAAGAATTAACACCTCTCTTGCAGGAATTCAATGATGTTATTCCTGAAGAATTACCCGCGGGGCTACCTCCTATGCGAGATATCCAGCATTGCATAGATTTGATTCCAGGTTCAACTCTCCCAAATAAAGCTCATTATCGGATGAGCCCATTAGAGTACGAGGAGCTAAATAGGCAAGTGACAGAATTGTTGAAGAAAGGGGTTATCCGAGAGAGCATGAGCCCGTGTGCAGTACCTGCATTGCTTGCACCCAAAAAAGATGGGACTTGGCGTATGTGCGTCGACAGTCGGGCAATAAATAAGATCACCGTGAAGTACAGATTTCCAATTCCTCGTCTCGATGATATGTTGGATCACTTGTCGGGAGCAAAAATATTTTCGAAAATAGACTTAAGGAGTGGATACCACCAAATACGAATGAGGCCCGGTGACGAATGGAAGACAGCCTTTAAAACTCGGGATGGCTTATTTGAATGGTTGGTGATGCCATTCGGATTGACAAATGCTCCCAGCACATTTATGAGACTCATGAACCAGGTATTTCGTCCTTTTATTGGAAAGTTTGTAGTTGTTTACTTTGACGATATTCTGGTTTATAGTCATAATGTTGTTCAACACATGGAGCACTTGAGACAAATCTTTGAAGTTTTACGGGAGCAGCAACTCTTTGCCAATTTGAAGAAGTGTGAATTTTTGACAGATAGCTTAATTTTTCTTGGGTATGTGATATCATCAGAAGGTATTAAAATGGATACAAAAAAAATTGAAGCAATACAAGAGTGGCCTCTACCAGATTACCAAAAGGTTTTTGAGGTAGATTGTGATGCATCCAAAGTTGGGATTGGAGCTGTTCTTAGCCAGGAGGGGAGACCAGTTGCCTTCTTTAGTGAAAAACTCAATGACACTAGACAACGCTACTCTACTTATGATATTGAGTTTTATGCCATTATGCAATCTCTTAGACAATGGAGGCAATATCTGATTTACAAGGAATTTATCCTTTACTCTGATCATGAAGCATTGAGATTTATCAATGGGCAACACAAACTGAATCGGAGACATGCCAGATGGGTGGAAGAATTGCAGGAGTACAATTTTGTGATTAAACACAAGGCTGGAATCCACAATAAAGTAGCAGATGCTTTAAGTCGCAAGGTGGCCTTATTATCTGTCATGCAAGTTAGAGTGGAGGGCTTTGAGCAATTGCAGGAGTTATATAAAGGAGACAAAGAATTTGGTGAAATCTGGTCCGAATGTGTGCAAAATAATTCAGTACAAGATTACCATATTCAAGATGGATATTTATTCAAGGGGAGCAAATTATGCATTCCTGATTGTTCTTTACGGTTATGGATAATTGAGGAGCAACATGGGGGAGGCCTTGGAGGACACTTTGGGCGAGACAAAACAATTGATCTTGTTGAGAACAAATTTCATTGGCCCAAGTTGCGAAGAGATGTGGAGAGATACGTACAAAGATGTAGGACTTGCCACGTGGCCAAGAGTCGTAGTCAGAACACGGGGCTTTATACTCCTTTGCCAGAGCCACGAGCACCGTGGGAAGACATTAGCATGGATTTCGTTGTTGGCCTTCCGAAGACAAAACAAGGATTTGATTCAGTCATGGTAGTTGTTGATCGCTTTTCGAAGATGGCCCATTTCGTTCCTTGTAAAACAACCATGGATGCTAGCAATATTGCCCATATTTATTTTCAGGAGATTGTCAAATTGCATGGGATTCCCACTACAATTACATCAGATAGAGACACCAAGTTTGTGGGACATTTTTGGAGGACTTTGTGGCGTAAGATGGGGACTCGGCTCCAATTTAGCAGTGCACACCATCCCCAAACGGATGGTCAGACAGAGGTTGTCAATAGGACCCTTGGTAACTTATTGAGGTCTTTGGTTAGTAGCAATAAAACGGGCTGGAGTGATGTTCTACCGCAGGCAGAATTTGCATATAACCAGTCAAAAAATAGAACCATTGGAATGAGCCCATTTGAAGCTGTCTATGGTCGCAACCCTTCTAGTCCAATTGACTTAATTCCTTTGCCGGTAGAGAATCGTTTTAGTGGGGATGCCAATGACATGGTTGATCATATCAAGAAGGTCCATGAACGTGTTAGCCTTCGACTTAAAGAGAGCAACACCAAGTATAAAGAAAGTGCTGATAAACATAGGCGTTACAAGGAGTTCCAAGAAGGGGATTTAGTGTGGATCAACTTAAGAAAGGAGAGATTCCCTCGTGGAAAATATGGTAAATTGCATGATAGAGGTGGTGGACCATACAAAATATTGAAAAGGGCTGGTCAAAATGCTTATGTGCTTGAGTTGCCGAATGACATTGGTGTCTCGCCTGCATTCAACGTCGCTGACTTACAAGCTTACTATGGTGAGAATGAAACTCCAGATTTTGACTCGAGGTCGAGTCCTTTCCAACCCGAGGAGTCTGATGCAGGAGCATCCCAAGCCAAACTAGGGAAGCCCAAGAGATCAGTTAAACCTCCTAATTACCTTAAAGATTATATCCCAAAATAAATTAAGAGACCTTTCCTACTGCTGATTGACTTCCTTTTATGTTTTCCTTCTGTTTTGGGTTTCTTTATTGTACTAGAATTATAATTCCTTATATTCCTAGGATTTAGTTGTTATTTAAACCTTTCTCTTGTAGACCATTTGGGCAGATTGGATTAGTGAATTTATTGAGAAAACGCAGCTAAGTTTAGCCGCAAATTGTGAGTGCTCGTTCTATATTTCTAGTGTTGGTGTAGTTTCGTTGGAGGTTCGTGTTTGAGATACTATCTCCCCATCAAGCTCCTTGAAAGTTCCAATCAAATTAAAATGTAGAGGTCGATGCCAGTGGAATGAGAACGCTAATGAGAATGGCAACGACAAAGTTTAAGTTTCTGTCATTCCCATTTGCTCCTAATCTGGTGTGTGTGCTTGAAATCATATGTGAGTAGTGCTAAGCTTCCATTCATTGACATTCTCTTCAACACAAACCTCTCTACCAACACATAACAACCAAATCTCTTCCACCTGCCTCCTGTCCCCCCAAACTCTTCTACTCTCTCCACTCTAACTCGTCTTTCATTCCCACCAACCCATCCAACTCTTTCTTGTTCCCATTTCATTCTCTCTACAATTTTCATGCTCAATCCCACACTTATTTCTCCTCCCACACCATCAAAACTCTTAAACAACATGAACCCTTCACCACTCACATTTCTTTCATCCCAAATAGCTTCACTTCCATCAACAAAAACCACCTCTCTTTGAACAAAGGCATCCACAAACACAGCACCTTTATTTTTTCCCTCAACATTTTCATTAATGCTATCGAAAATCTTTTCCCATCTTTGCTCAAGACTAATCTCATAGAACATGCATTTTTTCATTTGGTCCTTCAGCTTCACCCCTCCTTCCTTGATAAGCATGAAAGGACAATACCACTTACCAACAGACACAGCTTGAGAGCAGTCATGTGATAATGGAAAATTGAACCCCGGAAGGCTTGCTCGTAGTGAAGAGTTGAGTCCTGAGGCTTCACCCAATCTGTAATGACGGGGTGTGTGCATGGTCACAGTCCACCCTTTTCTTCTCAAGAAGGAAGGAGGAAACCCATCTGGATCAACAGACTTGGCAACAAAGCAACCCCTGTCACGCTCCCTAGGAACGATCTCAACTTGCTGATTTACGTCTGATGGTTCCAGTGGTTTTGGTTTAGCATCTGGAACATTGGTACAGCCGCAACAGACAATCTCCATGTCCTCTTCCCTTGAGTTTGTGCACGCTTCCCTGCAAATTAAACTCAACACAGCTATTAAACTGTATAGAGAACATTTCTGTGTGACAGTAACACCACTGCGTGAAAATTAATCATATAAATATTTATAAATTTATGCTTACCCTTTATGCTTCCCTCTCCGAAGTATCACATGGTATCTATTGGAAGATAAGGGCTGACTAAGCACTGGGATGAATGTAACTTCGTCATCATCTGAGCCATATCCAACTGTTAGATCCTTGTTCTGAGGGAAAGGCAGGTCTTTAACCCGATCATCAGCGCATCCGCAACATGTTATCTCCACCGATTCGTCGTCATGGAGAACAAGATAACCAGAATTTGGCCCTTCCGGTGGTGGCAACGACAGTGACTGAGGAGACCTTCTATACAGAGACAGAGGCTTTGTCACATACATTTTGCTGGGGGGTTGCTTTTTTCTTCTCAACACAAAAAGGAAAGAAATTCTTATGCTTTGTAAGTTTTCTTGGAGGGTCGATCCCATCCCAGAGAAGAAGTGAATACAGATATTGACATAGTCAATGGTTGACTATTTTATGACGTGTTGAATGCTATTAATAATTGGGATTTTTGTAGATGAACTTATACTCCAATTTTAATTTGTCATCTTAAAAGAAAATTTTAAGACCAATGTCACCTTAATTTTTTAATCTTTTCCATTTTCAATTATATTTTTAAAAATAGAAAAATCATTATAAAAAAAATTTATACATGGTCAAAGAGAGATGTGTAGGGGCGGGTGGGGTTGGGGTGGGTGTGAAAGGGAGAGAGATGTTCTTCATTCTCTATCTTTTTCTTGAAATAAAATAGAAAGACTAAAATATCATTCAACAAATTGCACCACTTGGTCTGCAATTCTTGATAAGATTTGCCAGCATATGGTTGTAGATTGGCCAAGGGCTCTTGTGGGTTCTCTAAAATGATAAATTTTAATTTATACTTTGATATAATCAGTTAACCTTAACTTGTTGTGGACAACTAATCTTGAAAATTCCAACCAAGCTAATGAACACATCCAAAAAAACTTTTAATTATTGTAGAACCTACCAGGGCGGTTCACGCATTTCTCAATCACCATATAAGCTGGAAAGGTCTTTTTTTAAAGCTTAATGTCTGTGTCTGAGATGAGATTGAATTGAAACATCATAGGGATACATATTTAAATTTGATTAATCAGTTAACCTTCAACTTCTTGTGGACGGCTAATCTTGAAAATTTCAACCAAGCTAATGAAATACATCAAAAAATAAAGAATATTACTGCATTGGATCAAATAACAATGTATGCTAATCTCCAAGGATCAATGGGGATTTTGCCATCCCAAAGCAAAAGAAGAGCAAAAATCTCACTCCCATTTGCTCCTGATATGATGAGTGTGCCTAAAACCATGAGTTAGGACCACGCTTCCATCCATTCTTTTCAATACAAACCTCTCAACCAAAACATAGCAACTAAATCTCCTCCACCCTCCCATTCCCCCAAACTCCTCTACTTTATTCACTCTCACTTGCTTCTCATTCCCCACAAACCATCCAAACCTTTGTTGCTCCCACTTCATCCTCTCCACAATTGCTAAGCTCAACCCGACACCGCTCTCTCCTCCCACATTGTTAAAACCCCTATACCACATAAGCCCATTAGCCACATCCCTCTCTTCATGCACAGCTTCCACATTCCCAGCAACAGCAACATACTCACTTTGCACAGAAACATCAACAACCACAGCTTTGCCTTCACTATTACTACTGTCACATGCAAATATTTGTTCCCATCTTTGCTCAAGTGTCATCTCATAATACCTGGTCCTACTCATTTGATCTTTTGGTGTACCCTCCTTGATGAACATGAAGGGACAATACCACTTCCCCACAACCACAGGGTTCGAGCTTGTAAACGATAATGGGAAATCAAAATCTGGAAGGCGGGCACGTAGTGCTGTGTCAAGACCCGGTGCGTCACCTAAATCGAAGTCACGAGGAGTTGAGGTATATATTTCCCACCCTTTTCTTCCAAGAAACTTTGGAGTGTACCCATCTGAAGCTATGGCTTTGGCAACAAAGCCACGATTGAATCTTCCTTTGAGCTGGATCTCAAATTGCTGGTATATGTTATTGGGATTGAAAGGCTGTGAGGGTACGTCCTTTACAAAAGTGCAGCAGCAGCAGGTTCCCAAGTCCTCCTCTGTTGAGCAGGTGTATGCTTGCCTGCAAGTGAGTTCATTCAATTTTTCTTTTCCATGGATTGGTTACAATACTAGAATTAAGTTCAATTTGAGATAGCATGCATACCCTTTAAGCCTTCCACGCGACTGTATAGCATAGTACCGATTCGAAGCCAATGGCTGGTTAAGAACTGGAATGAAGGCAGTGTAGAAATGAGAAACATGTCGGTTTTCTCCCACTCCTGTGGAATAGCGAAGCTTTAGATTCTTGTTCTGAGGGAAAGGCAGGTCATGGAGCTCGTGGCCTTTACACAAACCAAAGCAAACTGTAGGCTCCGCTTCTTCATCCTGGATGACCAAAATACCTGAGTTTGGACCCTCTGGGGGTGGCAAGGTGACCATGGAAGGGTCCCTTAGATACATAGAAAGAGGCCTTGTCACGTACATTTTCTCTCTAAATTTCTTGATCAACTTTTTGCTTCTTGTACTTTTGGTCCCAGGGATCATATAAATCCTGATTTATTTATACTATGAAAGGTTTTCAAGTTTGCGTATACAATTTGCACAAGTTATGGGTAATTTATTCATTTTATTAATAGTACAAATCAACCTTTTGACTATTATTAAGAGCATGTGTAATGGAACTTAATTGACAAGGAAGGTTGATTTATTCGTTCACCTTTTGACATGGAAGCTGCGAAGAAATTACCCTCGTCCTGAGCTTTCTTCCTGCTTCTTTCGTTAAGATAAGAATGCCAACAGTTTGAAGCCAAGTGGAAGACCAATGATTGGCTGTGAATCAAAAAGATCTGAACTTTGAAGCAGTCCAAAAGGAAGGAATTCTTGATATTTTCTTTCAATTCTGACTCATCCTTATCATTAGAAAAACTTGAGCCGTATGAAGAAGATATGTTTGAACTCGAATTTGGCTTTGGTCCGAGAATCCGTCCAATGTTTTGGTAATTCTGGTTATGCTTGAAGATTCAATCCAGTGGAATGGTCAAACTCAGAAGCCTTAATTTATAAGAATTGTTAGGAACAAAACAGGGGACATTGTAAACACATAGATCAAAATTATGTGCACATTCCTGTGATTTAAAAGTCTTGGTTTACACTTCCATAAATCAAATAGTTTCTCAGAAGGCATACTGAGTCCACAAGCTACAAGAATGTATAGAAAACAAAAAGCCCAATTTGAAGTTTTTGGTATGCATACAACAACTGCATATTTTTTTCATTCCCATTTGCTCCTAATCTGATGAGTGTGCTTGAAATCATGGGTAAATACCAAGCTTCCATCCATTCTTTTCAAAGCAAACCTCTCAGTCAATACAAAACAACCAAACTTGTTCCACTCACCCTTCCCTCCATATTCCTCTACCCTCTCCACTCTCACTAGACCTTCATCATCCCCACCAACCCACCCAACCCTTCCTTGCTCCCACTTCATTCTCTCAACAATTGCTAAGCTCACCCCAACCCTTGTCTCTTCTCCAACATTGTTCAAACTCCTAAACTCCATCACCCCATCACCCACGCTTCTCTCATCACACACAGCTTCCCTCCCTGCGACCATAACCACTTCACTTTGCACAACAGCATCCACAGCCACAGCATTGCTTTGATCATGGTGGTTACTATGATGATCCCTTGCAAATATTTGTTCCCACTTCTGCTCAAGTGTCATCTCATAATACATTGACCTAGTTCTTTCATCTCTCAAAGATTTTGGTGTCCCTTCCTTAACAAACATGAAGGGACAATACCACTTCCCTACAACCACAGGCTTTAGTGGGACATTGAAATCTGGAAGACGGGCACGGAGGGCGGTGTCTAGTCCTGGTGCATCACCTAGTTCGAATTCTTGCAACGTTGAGCTTTTGAGTTTCCACCCTTTCCTCCACAATGCCTCTGGAGGAAACCCATCTTGAGCCATTGATTTGGCTACAAAACCACCTGACACATTAATGATTCTTGTTTGAAGATGAATCTCATATTGCTGATGTAAGTTCCGGGGATCAAAATGCTGCGGTAGTACATCGTTACGACCGCCGCCCAAGCAGCACGAGTCCATTTCCAAATCCTCCTCTTTTGAGCTTGTGTAGCCTTCCCTGCAAAACAAACGAACCAAAGAACACAGTTATAAGTATAAGAATTTTAAAAATCAATGTGATATGGGATTGTTTTATGTGTGCTTGCTTACCCTCTATCCTTCCCATATGGATATATTGCATAGTAGCGGTTGGAAGACAGAGGCTGATTAAGAACTGGGATGAAGAGAACTTTGTGGAAACGCAAATTTCTGTTGGGATAAAACCCTGTTGCATAGTAAAGCTCCAGGTTCTTGTTCTGAGGGAGAGGCATGTCTTTGATCATCTCGCTGTTGAATAACCCAAAACAGCATGTAGCTTCCTCATCTTGGACGACAAGAATACCAGAGTTTGGACCCTCCGGTGGAGGCAATGAGAGAGCAGCAGGGGAGTTTTTGAACATGGAAAGAGGCCTTGTCACATACATTCTGATTCTGCCACAGACTCTCTGTCTCTCTGTTTTTTTCTTCTTAACACAAAAAGGAAAGAAATTCTTATGCTTTGTAAGTTTTCTTGGAGGATCGTCGATCCCATCCCAGAGGAGTTCCACCACTTGGTCTGCAATTCTTGATAAGATTTGCCAGCGTGTGGTTGTAGATTGGCCAAGGGCTTTGGTGGGTTGGACATGATGTTGAAATGTTTGACGTTTTATTTCACTTTCCAAACTTTATTACTTCATTTTAGTATCAAACAAGCTAATGGCTGGCTAGCTAGAATCCAGGGGAGAGAATAAAGCCAAAATTTGCCGAATTTGTCTGTTACAGGAGAACAATAGACATTGTTTGGGCCTGAAATAAATCGGGCTTGACCATTAAAGCCTTCAATAAAAATTCAAGGTCTACAAGACTTCATTGCTGTTGCTTCCAAGGCAAAGAAGAAAAGAAAAAGGGATCTTCTCATGCGCTCTGGTCCAACATTCAACTTGGTCTGAGGATCAGTCCCTTGTTCACAAGTCCATAACTCAATGAAGTAAAATTGAGGTCTGGTGACAAAGAAGCGGAACCTAGAGTTTAAATCTTGTCCTACATGTAAAAAGTTTGTAGCTCACTTGGTTAATAACATTCACCTTTTTTGCACCGGAGATCATGTATTCAAATACCCTCTCGAAGAAAAAAAATAATTATCGTAAATGAAATGGGTCAACACCAAACTTCATCTGTTTATATATATTCTCTTGGGATGGTATACTATCCTTTATTGATATTGGAGAAAAAGAAGAAGGGGACATATTCTTTTTGGGATTTCTCTGAAATTTCAAAGTATAGAAGATCTCAACACAAATGAATGCTAACACCTACTTGGTCTACAAGCCTTTCAAACAATAGGGATGTGATTTTTGTCTTTTTGGCCCCTTTCAAACAATCCTCTGTTTAAATCAGTGACATTTAGAAGAATACAACAAAAGCGACTCAACACTGTCTGGTAACATTATTTTCTGAGAAAAAGTATTATATACATATTCTGTCTGCTCATAAGATTTTCCTTGGTTAAGCTTTAGTGTATGCTAAATTTTATAGAAGACCAGACCATAACTTTATTTTTCTTTATGTTATGCAAAGATCCCCAGTTAGTATGAGCTACCTCCTTTAACATTTACTAACAACATCAACATAAATACAAGGATGAAAAAAACTGATAAAAACACAGACAACAATTTGTAAGCTACAGAAAAACACAGTTATTTGTCATTTGTGGTCCATGAACATTTTTATCTCAGGTTTTGAACATTAAATCTTCATCTTTCTTCCTAGTACTTCCCCAGCTTGGATGATGCCTGAAAATCCATTTCCAACCCTTCAAACTTTTCCTCCCCCTCTTGATCCCTCTGTCATTGACTGTTATTCTACAAGAACCTCCATGGCTGAAAATACCATCTCCAATTAGACCTCCAAATGGACCTCCACATTCATTTGCCACAAAGTCACTGCCTCTCATGCTTCCAAATACAGAATCTGTATCTGTGATATTTCCCATCTTCATTGCAGAGAATTCTGGCTTGGACTCCGCTGAATAATCAAGCTTCAAGTCAATAAACCCTGATTCATCCATGCCACTAAAATCACTCTCCTTGAGTGAGAAAACTCTTCTTGTTGCCCCACTGAACCCCTTATCAGCAGCCTCCATAAGGCCATTCTTCTTGGCACCTTTAAAATCAGTACCCAATTCAGAAGCCAAAACCTCATCTTTCTTTTCACCATCAAAACCACTTTTTCTTGGCTCTGCTTCACTGAACCCACTCTTTCTTCCTTCACTGAATCCGCTCTTTCTTCCTTCACTGAATCCGCTCTTTCTTCCTTCACTGAATCCGCTTTTTCTTCCAGAATCTAAAACCATACCAGCAGTAGTGACACTGGAACTTCTTGCAGCCGAAATTGAGCTCCTGGCCCCAGAAACCATTAAATGTTCTCCACCATCCTCTGATCCAAAAAAGCCACCGCCCCTGAAACTGCAGAGAGACCTGGACCTTGACACGCCCATATGATCAACGAGCCACATCTCACTTTTCTCATCAAACCCAACAACACTTTGGTTCCCACAATCTTTTTCTGATCTTTTCTTCCTAAACAACCTCCCAAATCTCCAAAACCCACTTCTTTTAATCTCAACGCAGCTACTGCTGCTTCTCCTGAGCACCACAACATCCTCTTTCTCTTGGGTCTTGTTGGCCTTGGAATTTGATTGTAAAGCCTCATGCTTTTCATTCTCAATCAGAAATGAGACTCTGCCAACGCTGCCTACCTCCACAGTGCATGAGTTCCGGTTTGATGAGATCTCAGAGCAAGAGCAGGAAGAGAGACGCTGCTCGCCACAATCAGAGCAGACGAGCTTGACCAAACGTTCTTTAAGACAGTAAGCGCATATCCCAACTGATGATGAATTGGGGTGTTTTCTACATGGCATTTCAGATGAAGAAAAGTACTCCATGTCAATGTTGTTACGTGCTTCCACAGCTTTGCCTCTGTCTTTCATGGCTCCCCTGCCGCTTCAATCTTGAAGATAAAGTTTCAAATGAAAAAGAGTAAGTCAAATAAAACAAAAGATTTTGATTTTGATGAGATTTAGAAGAAAATCAATGAAAGGCAGAAAGCAATGTGCGCTTGAATTTGAAAGAATGGTAATTGAATTGATAACATGAAAGAGTGATAAAAGAGATTTTTTTTGGGATTTTCAAGAATCAGAGTGGTATGGAGAATGCTATGAGATTTCAGAGTGATTGAATTTGAATTGATAGATGAAGGAGGCGTCAACTTTACGTTTGCTTTTTCAGCAAACAGTGGTAAGAAGAAAAGGAGTGATGCAAGAAAGCACTAAACCCCTGCAGGCAAAATCAGTGAACTGAGAGCCCCTTCATAAATTTCTACCACTACTGCGTGCATTTGTACCATCAATGCTAACCAGACCCACCAAACCACAGTTCCCTACTCCGCATACCTAGTAACACTGTAAAGTCATTTGATCATCTGGTCTAGATCCATCAATCCTTTCATGTGTTTTGTCAACTTTCTTTTATCCCCTCAAAATTAATTATTTTTCTGTTATCAATTTATTTGTGTTCAGAGAGAGGTCTAGGGAAGACTCTCATGTTCAAGACTATTGATGTATGTAAAGTCTACAATTTATCAATGGTTGAGAATCGTTCATCTCGTGTTCGAGAGTATGCAACTTCAACTATTGATGCATGTGGAGACTACAATGCATTGGCAATTGAGAGTCGCTCACTCCTCTTCTCATGTTTGTGATAAAGCGACTTCAAATTATTACTACATGTGAAGTTTACAATGCATTAGCGGTTGAAAGTCGTCTGCTGAGTCTTTGTGGTGACCCTCCTTTACTTTTTTTTTTTTGTATTATTAACCCACTAAATTTATGGTAAATTTTTGTGGTGTGATGGTTAAACCTAGTGCATGAGAGGTGGCATGAGGGAAACAGGCGTATTCATTTGTCCACTTGCTTTTGACATTCTACAATCATTCACTGAGACACAATCTCATACAATGTCGTTTTCTCGTGGATATTGACCACGTGTACCACCGACAATTCAGCCTATGTTGTTGACCCGACGAGGCCTCTCTTTTGGAGACTTCAAATGGCAATGGACGACTATGATATCTGAGGCTCCATGAATGTCCATGCTGATGAAAGATAGTGTTAAAATCCAAAACCTGGGTTAGGCTGCTGCTAAATCAAGCCCTAAAAGTCGCAAAGCTATGTATGATGATGATGACGATGGTTGCATCTGTCACATTTGTGTATCAAAACAAACAAAAGTAAATGAGATCGGCCTTTGACGTGCCGTGGAGAGTTGGAGTTGTAGAGATTCTCATATCCCTCTGTCTCTTCGTAAGTTATAAACATAAACCGTGGGACCCCAACATGTGTGAAAAAAGAAAATCAGTCACACTATTTGATCATCACAACTTTTATACACCTTTGTTTGTGTATATATAATGTATAAGTTATAAGTGTCTCTCAATCTCTACATGAGTCATACTAAGAACAATTGTAAATGAGTTGTCTCTCGTAAGTCATAAACATAACTTATAAGACACCGATATGTGTGAAAAAAAGGAAAAATCACATTCACATTGTTTGATCATCACAACTTATACATTATCTTATCAGAAAGTGGGGTGTTCCTTGATTGATTGTTTTTCATTTTCTCTTTATGTTTTGTGTATATTATAATATATAAGTCATAAGCGCCTCAATTGTAAATGAGTCATGTTAAGAACAATCGTGTATCTTATGTGTTTCACACCGGAAAATTTTATTGTTTTTTGATTCCAATTATAGGGACTCCAATAGTAAAGTTAGGTAAGCTTCAATCTCTAATTGATTAACTGATAGAAAATGATTTGAAATGGACAGGGAAGTTAGGAACTAATCCCTTTTGTTGCACCTAATTTGAAGCGCACAAGAAAAGAGAAAATAACAAATGAACTTGACTGAGTCCAATTGCGTGTTTTACTTTGAAATAATTTTGGGTTGAACCACAAAAATGAAAACTTGTAGAACCAGAAGCACGTCTGGTTTGGAGACATAATAGCAAAGCTCGCACGCCCAGCCAGCCCAGCGCATGCAGATCCCCGTTTGTGGTTTGGGACACACAAACAATTATTTTACCAAACCAAAAGAATGTTTTGTTTAATTTAATATAAATATGTTGGATCATGGAAGTGTGGCAATCATGATGTTTTCCATTGGCCTTGCCTCTGCCTTCATTAATTATTTTGTTGCGTTGCGGTTCATGAGTTTTTAATAGTCTTGGGGATCTTAAGATTGCTTTTGTTTTGAATGTGCTCATGATTAAGTGCAATTTTTACCTGCAGATTTGTAAAAAAGACATGCTTGCTGTCTGACGTTCACTTTCTCTGGGGTGTCAATGCCATGTGCCTTTGCCTAAGTTTTGCTTATGATTCAATGCTTAGATTGGACGGTTGTAACTAAATAAAGAAAAAAGAAGAGGAACGTAAGCATTTTTTAATTGAAGGAATTGTTTCCCAAACCAATAAATTTGTCCTTTGGTTGAACAAAAAGACAATTTTCAAGAGTTGGAAAATGGAGTAATGTGTTTGTAACGCCAGTGATTAAAAATGAGTTTGTAACTCAAGTAATTAAAAGTAGTTATTCTTGTACTCGAGGTTCTGTGTTCGAATCCACCCTCCATCAATGTCAATATCGTTTGTATCGAAAACTATTGGAAAAGAGAAATGTTACTTTTTGAGTAAGGCTTCAAGAATCCATGATTGAGATGATAATATCCAAGGAATTCTACATCATGGGTAATTCTGATGAAATTGTTGGGTGGATACCTCGATAAAGACTCATTTGCCCTCAGCCCAATGTAGAAACATAAGCAAAACTCAACCCAAGACCAAACAAGGCCCAATATCCTCACAGCCAATTAAGCCCAATCTAAAGCTCCTCTCCCGCTTTCAATCTCTCACTTTCTCAGAGCTCCCACTCTGTGACCTCCATGGTTCCCCTGCAAATTCACCACCTCACCCCATCATTCTTCATTTCCCAAACTACCCCTCTCCACTCTTCTCTCCCTCTTCCTCACCTTATCTCTCCCACCTCTCAAAGAACCAAAATTTCTCTTAAACCCAACCCCTTTTCGTTTCCCCCAATTTTACTATCCAACCCCACCTTCAAATTTCTTAGGGCATCAGCAAGTCAAGCATCATCATTTTCTACAAATGAAGAAGAAAGCACTGAAATTTCACCCGAGCTTGAAGACTTATCGCCCGACGGCGTCGTTTATAAGAAGACATTAGCATTGGTGGAGTGCTCCATGTTTGCTGCACTTACTGGCTTGGTGTACTTCCTCAGCAATTCTCTCGCAATTGAGGTTCGTTGACTTATAATGAAATATGGGTTTGAATAAATTTAGACAAACAACCCAAATTAACAGTTTCATTTTCTTATTTTGTAGTCTTTAACGCTTTTGTTACTGTTTATTGCTTATAAAGTAAAAGCAGCGAGCTTTACATGAAGTTGTTTGTTTTTCATTTTGATTTTATAATTTGAACATTTTAGATACTTTAGTTTATGTTAGGCTACTTTGTTTCAACAGCTTTGCTTGGTTGCAGAGATAAACCAAAACAGAGGAATTGTAATTAACTTGTGCACTTGGTTGGGATTATGTATGAACTTTTGTCATGGTTATCCGTATATCTTATGTCATTCATTCTAGTACACATTATCTCAATAAGGTTTGGTTTTTGTGCAGAATTATTTTGGATGCTTCTTCTCGTTGCCAATAGTGATCACCTCAATGAGATGGGGCATCGCTACTGGAAGAAAAACTATGGTTTGTGAATATTTTCATAACCCACCGTGTTTGAACTTAGAGATTGATACAACGTTTGCATTACATAATTGCAATGGTTTTTTGGTCTTGCTAGGTGGCAACAACTATGCTATTACTAGTTTTGTCTGGTCCAGTGAAAGCCTTAACTTATCTGGTGAGTCTGCTTGTCCAGTTGTACTTTATATTGTGAATTAGGATCTATAACAATTTTCTTCTTCCCACCATACTGATTGATTATTTACGTGCTTATTAGATTCTCTCTTGTGCAGCTTAAGCATGGTTTAGTTGGTTTCACAATGGGAGGTTTATGGAGGTATGAAGTAATTCAAATTAGTTTAAGCAGTGGGTATGGATTACTTTTTTGTCCATGTCATTCTGATTAGCAGTTTTACCTTCTGTTTTGCATCTTCTCAGGTCGGGAGCAAATTGGGGTCTTTCAATTCTCTTGTGCACAATTGTAGTGTTTTCTCCCTTCTGCCTTGAATTCATTAAATCTGTTTGAAGGAGTGTTTATCTCGTTTAAAGATTTTAGTTAATGGTAAAATTCTTTGTATATGCAGGTTCGATCACTGGGTGCTGTAGGCTATGTTTTGATATCTTCATTCTTGATAAGTGAAAACATACTTGCTTTGGTAATTGACTATCCTTTATCTGGTATTAGTTTGATGCAATACCTACATTTGAGTTTCAATTTTTGTTTTGTTTTGTTTGGTGGATCAAATTTGCTTGCAGATCACTATAAACATTCATGCTTCTCTAACATTCATATTCACTGCGTCGGGCATCTATACAGTCCCTTCGATGGGAGTGATATATGCCTTATTTGGCACTCTGGTACTCTCTCCCCCTTTGTCTCTCTCCTTCTCTCGCACACACTTATATACTAGAGTATGAAGGCTTTATATATTTAACAGGTATTGATCAACAGTGGATCCTTCATGTTCTTGCTGCACCTATTGTATTCGGTGTTCCTTACCAGGCTTGGAATGAAATCATCATTGAGATTGCCAAGATGGCTAGAGAAGGCTATATGACTGCTTTCGTGGGATTGATAAATTAACACTCTATAGTACCATATATTATAGGTGGAAAGAAAAATTCGTAACAATGGTTTCATGTTTTCAGGTGAGACCATCTTTGATCTTGTGTAATCACATTAGTCATCATTGTTCACGACTAAATTCTTGCCATGTATATCACAAACTACAATTGAATATAGGCAAATGTCGATTTCCATTTCTCACATTTTGTGAATTTGTTTCCTCTTTGGTATCATACATAGAGCAGATGTATGTGTGAGAATTGGCCACGAAAACAGAGAGTTCTAAAGTATAGTAAGAATTTAGAGATTTAGGATCTCTAGTAAGAATTGACGGTGAGAAGGAACAGAAATAGGTGAAGGGTAGAAGACTTGGGGTCTGGGTGAAAGAATGCGCACATAATATTACCAGGTTAATTTAAATTTCATAATGTGAATGTAAAAGGTACTTTGGAAGGATGAGTAATTTACTCTTAATCACTTGAGTTATAAGCCGTTTGTGTGTAGAAGTTAAATCTCAAGCAGATTATACTGCGAAAGAAATGTATCAATAATAAAAGCTATGGGCTATAGGGCTAAAGCTATGCCTATGAATTTATGAAATTCAGAATATCATATGTTCATGTGCTATACCTAAAACTTGACTACACCAACATAAGGCTTCACTACCGACCCAACCCACAAATTCCCATTTTGTTCTTCAACCTCACTAACAGATTCCAGAGCTGGACCACCCTCTCCATCCAACACCTGCACAACTGTTCCTTGCTCATCAAACTTTGCTGCTACGGGATCGTTTACATTCAACCATTTGTCCGAGGTCGCAATATTCACTACTTCCTTGACTCCTCTTCCACTATTGAGTGCAACCCAAAATTCTCCTCTGTTGTTGCTCTTGATGTTATCTGGAGGCCTTTCTAGTTGGGCAAAAAGTTCAAAGGCAGGAGCTTTGGGGCCTCGAAGCCAAAGCCTGTGGATTGTGAAGGGGGCTGATTCGGCTACTAGGATGAAAGACTTGTCCTTGCTTAGAGCCACACCATTTGCAAAAGCCAAATCATGGAGCAAGACTGTCACCTCCTTTGTACAAGGGTCATATTTTAGTAGCCTCCCGGTTTTGTCACCGGCTAGGATTGACTGCATCCATACCCTACGATCAAAACAAAGTTTAAAAAAGATAAAATGAACGGTTCAGATCATTAGACACATTGCGGGACGAAGAAAAAAAGAATAAGAAGTAAGCAGTTAGATAATATACCTTCTTTGGAAGACAGTGCTTGTGTCTGTGAAATAGACAATGCCTGTCTCTTCATCAACGTCCAAAGCATTTGTAAACATGAGGGGCACCCCTCCTAGAGAACTAGCAAGTACCTCCGGCTTACCACCATTAGGGCCTGTTTTGAGGAGCCCAAAGTAGGCATCTGCAATATACAGATCACAAGTTTTGGGGTTGAACTTGAGGCCCAATGGCCTACCACATATGGGTTCATTTGTCGCGTTGGTTGACCCATCACATAATTTCCTTGGCCTGATTAACAAAAAAATTCACTACTTCAAAAATAAATTTTTTTTAAAATTACATGAAAGTATTACTGTTGAAAGAAGCATATTTAATAGGCTTTTTTTTTTTTACCACAAATGATCCTTATCGTTTACAAAATTGTCACAAATGGTCTTTAAGGTTTTTTTGTGACATTAATAGTCCTTAACGTGATGACTTTTTATCATAAATAGTCCATGTCGTTAGAAATTTTGTTAAATGTGACATGAAAGATAAATAGAGCCCACATATCCAATCACATTATTACATGTGGATGAAAATAAATAAATAAATAATTTTTTTTAATGAAATTTCCTTTTTTTCTGCAACTTTTCCTCCCCCTTCCTCTACTTCGTCTCTCTTCCCCTTTGCCCTTACTCTCCACCAACTGGCCCCTCTTTCTCCCTCTCCTCCCTGTCCTCTCCTTGTACCTCTGTTTTTTCCTACGCCCCCTCTCTATCCCTCTGTTCTCCCTCTCTCCTCCCTGTCCTCTTCTTCTCCCTCTGTTTTTTTTCTTGCCCATTGCCACCAGCAAAAAAAAAAAAAAAAAGATATACAGTGGTTGAGAAAATATATAGTTATAAAACTGTATCTTTGTGTTCGTCTGGTTGTAGTGGCGAGAAAAAAACAGAGGGAGAGGGAGAGGGAGAGGGAGAGAGAGAGAGAGAGAGAGAGAGAGAGAGAGAGAGAGAGAGAGAGAGAGAGAGAGAGAGAGAGAGAGAGGCTAAATGATTTTTCATAAAAAAAGTATGTTCGTAGAAATGGTCAATGTTCTTGAGCCACAGTTTTCCATTTAGATATGGAACTTAGGATCATAGGAGGGAAACCCTTTCAATACCACTTTAGCTTCTCTGGCATGGGAGATGACTAAACTAGGCATTCAAGAACCATAACCTTTTCTAGGAACAGATTTTATGATTATAGAATAGGCATTTATAATCCTCCTTCCATGCAAAGAGTCTATGAGCCCTTCAGCTAGTTTCCTCTCAATTTTTTCTACATATCATTTCTATATCAAGATAAAATTATTCATGTACTCTGAAGTTTCTTAGGGTTTTATTTGTTTATTTGTTTTTATCAACCTGAATTGTAATAGCATGTTCAATGGGACCGCAATGCTGTCTGCAAATTGAAACAGAGGGAGAGGGAGAGCACAGGGAGGAGAGAGGGCAGGATAAGAGAGAGAGAGAGAGAGAGAGAGAGAGAGAGAGAGGCTAAATGGATTTTCATCAAAAAAATATTTATTTAATCCACATGTCACTATGTGATTGGACATGTGGGTTCCACCTATCTTCCACATCAGATACTTAACAGAATTTCTAAGCAGAGACTATTTGTGATAAAAAACTCTAACGTTAAGGACTATTAATGTCATAAAAAAACTCAAGGACCATTCATGATAATTTTGTAAATGTTAAGGATTATTTGTAATAAAAAAGCCTATTTAATAAGTAATAAAAACATATTAATTTTTTTCCGGCTGAAACGATGTCAACTCAAAAAAGTCAACTTTCTGTAGTGACGAGGCCTCACAGCTCGATTGGTAACTAGTAAAGCATAACCCCAAATTTCAAAACTTCGACCAAACGAAAGAACACTAGAAATCTAAGAAAAAACAAAATGAAGATTTTTTTTGGGTTGGGAATCTATAGTTCACCAATACTTGCAAAGTCAATACGGAGCTATTTTCCATTAGCAAATAAAGGATAAAAACAAGAAGTAAGATCAATGCTGTAAACATTTGCATAATGTTGTTTTCAAAACATCTCTCGGTTGACCAACAAAAAAAACGAAGAAGTTGAAGAGATCTTTACCTGTCTGGGGAGGTGAAGGCAAACTCTATCCAACCCAAGCTCGGTCCTTGCCATTTGAGAATTGTACCATCTGAAACCCCGACGTAAGGTCCTTGTCCATGGCAGTCAAAGGCAATGCTTTCGGGGCCAACCACCCTGGCCAACTCTATTTGATGGTAATTTCGGAGGTTGATCACATAATTAGCTGCTGCTGCTGATGCTGCTGCCGCCGCCGGCGGTTTAGGTGATAGAATGACATCAAGAGCGGCTACGACTATGAACAATAAGAATGAAACAAAAGGTGGCCTCATGGCAGCTCAAATTATTTTGTGCAGATATTGTGACTAATTCTCTGGCTCTCTTATACTAGACTATTTATAACAACTTCACAGAATGGAATAATTCCTATTTATAACGACTTCACAGAATAAAATAATTCCTATTAAGTCACTTGCCTTTGTATATTAATTCACTTGCCATTAGCAGCAGCTGCTAATTATGTGATCTACCTCAGAAATTACCATCAAATAGGGCTGGCCACGAAAGCATTGCCTTTTGACTGCCATGGACAAGGACCTTACGTTGGGTAGGCCGGTCCTGAGTTTTCAAAGGCCCAGGGCAAAAATCTAAAGTGTGCCCTACACACATTAATCACTAATATTAGTATACTTCTTGTTTTATCAACTACGCATTGGATTTTTTGAGAAAGTATTTTTTTGAAAATATTTTTAGACTTTGAGCAATGTCTTCCATATTCCTAAATAATGAAAACAAATGTCCAACTATGGATATGTACCATACCAGTGAGTTAAAGAATGTCAAGAATGCAAGTCAAACCAATATCAAAGAATTTCTTTTAAAACACTCGTCATGGATCCTTTGTTCCAAAATTTCAGATTCATCTCAATATCCTATTCTTAAAAATTATGGAAAAATATTAAATCAATTTATAATAATATAATATGACACTTATTATAATAAAAAAATTTGGGGCCCTCTTGAATAATGTGCCCAGGGCAGTCACACTGACTGCCCCTGGGCAGGGCTGGGACTGACGTTGGGGTTTCATGACAATTTATTATATCCCAACCACTTGCCATTTATGGTTGAAGGTAATAACTTACTGAGTTCAGTATATATAACTGTTCAGTGCAAATGAAGAAAGACCTGTAGTTTCAATTTTGTTAATTTTATGTTGTTTTAATTTGAAACAATTCAAGGACGCATTTCAATTTTTGTTAAATTTCTCCAAATTCCAATGAGTTTTGATCACGTGTGAGAGGGGTATTTGAGTTCACTCAAGCCATCTAACGGTAAGACACAAGCTGAAGCTCTTCTTATTCACTTTAGGTGCGATTTTGGGGTTTGAAAAAATTTGCATTTCTGGGTTAAAATTTGAGTGAACTTGAAGGAATTTGGCCCAAGTGGACCAAAACACCCCTCTACGTGGGGCACGTGGTCAAAACTTAACGGAATTGGGAGAAATTTTGACAAAAATTAAAACATTTCCTTGAATTGTTTCGGATTGAAAATTATAAGAATAACATTCACAAAATTTTAAAATTACAAAGATAAATTTGACAAAACTGAAACTACGAAGACCAAAATAATAAAAGTGACAAAATATAGGGACTAAAATACTTTTTGTGGACTTCGCACAGCCTCCGCATGTTGTCACATGCGTATGTATAGGGCACTAGAATGCGAATTTGACAACCTAATCAATCTGGACTGATTAAATTCCCATAAAAAAAGAAGGGAAATACCTCGTGTTTTATATATATAATCAACCATATTAGCTAGAATATACATGTTTTTTATATTATAAAGATATATAAGGGGTTTAATTAACTCAACGTGGTAGGCAA